GATGGAAAACAAACAAAATCCTAACCATTGTATACTTGTCTCTACTGTGAAAAATATTTACAAAGTAATACTGTATAACAAATGCCATTATTATTATTCAGCTTTTGCAATCAACCAGCAGCAAAATGTATAAGATTTCATAAGGTTACAAAATGTAACGTAAATACTATCAATCTTAATTTCTATTTTAAGTTCACCTGGATAGAAACTGAGGGCATGGGTAAGAAACGGAAGAAATGATGGGACACTAAGTGCCTCACCTTATCAAATACAGACTCAAGAGACACTGAAGTCCGTAAAACAGAAATACAACTTTAAGTATATTAAAGTCACGAAGGTAACCGATGGAACGATTTAAAATAGTGATATAACTGTATTGGAAGTAGGACAAGGGCAACAGTAAGTGTAAACTAAACCATCACTTAATAATCTACCAAGATACACTAAATCCTCAATCTAATATCTAAAGTTGATAGCAACTGGTGCAAGTATACTTTAAAATATTGAAATATCCACCAGAAGAACTGAACACAAAACAGGTAAAAGTCTGGAGAGCAGAACTGGGATAAAAGGGGTAGGGCAAGAGACTGTTGCTTTTCATTTTATAAATTCATCTGTACTGCTTGATTTTTTTTTAAACCTTACAGATGAGTACATTTTTTAATACTGAAAGGCTAACTTCTTTAAGAAACTTTGTAAGAAATAGGAAATTTTGATACAGGAAAATTAAACTTCAACGCTTTCATTCTGTGAATGTTTTTGATCTGTTTTAAAGATTTAAAAGTGTTTGTATATACATACATATGTATATTTTAATAGCTAAAATAAAATGCTTTCCACAATATTTTGTTATGGGAAAAGTTTCTCCACCTAACAAAAATGTCACCTTTCCAATGTTCCCACAGATAGACAAAGCATTAGCACAAGGACTACAATTAATACAAAAATGTTTCCAGTGAACTGAACACTAAGATAGCAAGCTGAAGATAAACACAAATTATTTAATTAACCTATACGATCACCAAAATAGCAGCAACATTAGTTGCTAGAAAATACCTTTCTCCTTTTAACACTGGAGTGGCTTTACAATTTAATTTTAACGGGGCTTATAAAAAACTCCAAACACTTCTTTAAGAGAAATAACTTACCAAACTGCAGTTTTCAGTTTTTACTTTAAAAACATGCTTTCCAAATCTTTAATAAGATTATTTAAATGGTACTGGAAAACTATGTATTTTACTTTTAATGTCAAAAATCATGGCGCACCAAAGGCAAATATCACCATAAAATTGTGCTGATTTACTTTTTTACATACACATACATGTTTTATTATAAAGTAGTTTTGGTTCACTAAAGCATTTTAGACCAGAGTCTTCCTTTCCTCTCCTCCAATTCCATTTCACCCAGAAGTCACCAGTTTTATCAGTTTGGTGTATATATTACTTTCAGACTTCTCCTGTGCACGCACACAAACATACATATACAAAACATTTTAAAATTTGTTTTAACAAAGGGCATAAAATGACTAGTTATTACCCTCAGTAGTATATTGTGTACATTTTCAAGACACAAACATTTTCCTTCAGTTTACTGTTTGCTAACTGCCTGGGGAATTTCTAATGGCTGCACAGTATTCCTGTAAATGAAATGTCCCATATTTAACCACCTGAAAAATAACATTTCATGTCTTAGGTTATAAGCTGTCTCATGGTTATAAAGTCACATCTTGAAAATTTAAGTCTCTTGCTCTAATGTTTCACATAAAAATCACTCTCAAATTTTACATTCCTCCAAAACATATTAATATATGGTCAATAACTGACATAGACAAGATTAGCAGGACTATGTAATTTATCAAAAATCAAAATAACACAAAGCAAAAAAACCCTTACAGGTACTGATCATAAGTAAAACTGGAGAAAATATAAAGGGAGTAAAAACAAGAGTCAAGACCAAACTTATAAATCAGCAGGTACTTAGAAAAGAAGTATAGGACTTCCCCGGTGGCGCAGTGGTTAAGAACCCATCTGCCAATACAGGGGACACGGGTTCAAGCCCTGATCCAGGAAGATCACACATGCCACGGAGCAACTAAGACCACGCACCGCAACTACTGAGCCTGTGCTCTAGAGCCCGCGAGCCACAACTACTGAAGCCCATGCTCCGCAACAAGAGAAGCCTGCACACTGCAATGAAGAGTAGCCCCCGCTCACCGCAACTAGAGAAAGCCTGGGCGCAGAAACAAAGACCCAGCACAGCCATACATACATACATAAAATTTTTTTTAATCTTTAAATTAATCAACAAAGATATTATAAATATTAACTTGAAAATGGTATTACTTTTAAAACCTCAAGTTTTAAGAAATGGTTATTTGGTTTTAAAACGGAGCAGGAGCCTTCCTGGGAAAAGACATTCCCACCCCCTATCAGTCACCTCTTATTCAGAGAAAAGTTTTAGCCTCCTAGACTAAATTTGGTTCAGAAAAGCAAGAAAATGCAGAAACAAAGGAAAGCAGTCTAGCATGACAAAGTAATAATGGCTTAGCCATAAAACAAAGTCAAGGACCTTTAGTTCCTCCTCAAGGCCTATAGATAATATCCTGAGCCATATCCCACAGTTGTTTTGCAGAAACTAAAACCCCCAGCAGCTGGAAGAAGTCAACTGCATATGCTAACCACCAGCAAGCAGACCTCAGACCCTTGAAACCAGGTTGATAATTTGAGATTCCTAAAATGCCACCCTGCTACCTCACCACCAACCTATCAGAAGGATGTCCACGAGCTGATTACTCACCCTGGACCCTTTCCCTCATCTTGCCTTTAAAAATCCTTCCCTGAAAGCCACTGGGGAGTTTGTCTTTTGAGCATGAACTGTCCATTCTTCCTTGCATGGCCCAGCAATAAATGCAGTACTTCCCTTCAACCACAAACAGTGGCAGTATAGGCTTTTCTGCACCTCAGGGGAGCAGACCCAAGTTTGGTTTGGTAACAGTTTCACTGTTAGTTTAACAAGTAGCTAGCCCTAATTTTTAAAAACATCATTCTTACAGAGCCAAAACACAGTAATTACAAAAAATTTTCTTAAAGGAAAAAAAGAAATTTTTCTCTATTCCAAAAAATTTGTATAAAATAGTTTAAATACACTAACTAGAAAAACAAGTAAGAATCTTTATTTAACACAACAGATGTTTAACATGAAGTCTACAAAACACAACACCATTATTTTTAAGTATGATTACACACATAAAATCAACCACCTTCATAATGGTGATCTGACTTCTTTAAATAATGTAATCCTCCATAATATACAAAATAAACCCAATACTAATGGGACAATTAGTTTAGATGCCTGAAAAAGTATAAGATTACCCATCTTTTCTAAATCACCTTATCCCTATTAATTCATACATAAACTATTGCTCACCTTTCCAAATACTACTCATATTTAATTTTTCTAACGATAAAATGTACATCCTCTAAAAAATCTTGGAAACATGAATAAGAAAATAAAAATCATAATCCCACATCTGGTATATGTTCTTCCACTCATTTACCTAAGACAGACATCAAACCTCTTTAAGAAAAATGATCATAGAAAATGAGGGCCTTTTAAGTGGTTCATTCGAGTCTATCATATTCCAAAAGTTATAATCATACCATCACTAAAGAAATACAGTGACGTTAATTCTCAGTGGTTGCAGAATTAGTCTATCTACTTATCTACATGTACTTTTTTTGTGTGAGGATATAACATTAGACTTGACTTTCTATTTCATCCACCTGCGTAGGAAAAAAAGCAGACATTAAAAAGGCCCAGATCTTAAATCTTGATTTTCTAAATTAAGATGAATGTGACCTTGTGTAAATTACAACCTGAGTCTGTCAGATGAAAATGGAAAAAACTGCACCTACCAAATAGGGTGGTTTCGAGGATTAAATGATACATGTGAAGAGAGTAGCCAGTGCCTGCCTGGCACTCAGTAATAACTCCACAAGTATTAGTTCTTCCTTTACCATTAAAAGAGGCGTGAATGCGACACAACTACTAAAAGTCAGACTTTTAGACATAAATACGTGAAATGTGTTTGTTTTAATCAGAGCTTTCACTCATTTGTAATTAAAATTACTTCACAACCCACTTACACCGACGACAACTCAGGGTATTACTGCACCAAAATGAGTTCCGTTTCTTGAAGTAAAATTTTAAGGCCATTTTACACTTGCTTGGCTATTTGAAATCATAGCCAACAAGAGAGAAGAACTCAGGAAATTTCTCTTGTAAAAGTACTCCATGAGTTAAAACCCAGCGGTTGAGAATTTCCTTTAAGAAGGATAATTAAGAGATTGGAGGGGGTGGGGGGAAGGAACTCCAGACTTATTTTCCCACTTCCAATGATAAGTTTGAGGATAAACAAAAGAATAATTCTTTACAGCAATTTACAGAGAACGCCACGGACCCATAAGAATACTCCGGGGGAATGGTAAATTTGAAAATTGCTCCCTGCAATTTTCCGAGAACCTGGGATTGTCCGAGAACCTGGGATTCTAAGACTTAAAAACCTTGGGGTCTTTCAACAGAATTGGGGAAATGAGATGGAGGGAGGAGGGGGTAAAACGGTCTGTGAAAGCCAGAGAGCCAGAAAAAGCAATGGGAGGGGGGAGGGGCTGCCCCCAAAATGCCAAAGATCCAGGCTTTGGCGAAGCGGCTTCGCTTGCGGGGAAATCAAAGTAGTTGGGGAACTAAGAAAATGAGGAAATTCCAGCGCTGCGCGAGGAGGAATGGAGGGGGGCGTGAGAAACAGGGAAGCTGCGGCGGAAGAAGAGGGGTGGTGTCGTCCGAGATAAGGGTCGAGGGGGAAAGGGAGCAGCGGCGGGACCGGAAAGCCCGGACAAGGATGTGAGCCGGAGGAGGAGACGCGGAGGCGTCCGGGGTCGCCGAAACTTAGAGAAAGAGTAGGGGACGACAAGGGGCCGGAGCAGCGCGGGGCGCCCCAGTACCTGCAGAGATCGTCCAGGACGCTGCAGGGAATCTCCACCCGTTTAGTCTCCATGATGAGGACCCACAGCAGGAGCAGTGCATCCCGGCTCCGCGCGGCCGGGGACCGAGGGTACGGCACGGAGAGCAGGCGGCGGCGGTAACGGCAACGGCGGCGGCAGCGGCTCCGACGAAAACGAGAGGGGGAAGGGGCGGGACCCGCTCACTTCCGCCCGGCTCCCTCAGCCTGGGACCCCGAGGCTGGGCCGCGGAGCGGGGGCGGAGCTCCTGGAGCCACGCCCCTGCTCTGCTTGAAAGGGCCAATGGGAAGCTGGAGAACCGGCAGGCTGAGCAAGCTAAGCCAATGAGACGTTTGTTTATTGGTCCGTCGGCTCCAATCCGTCTTCAAGCTATTCAGTTGCTACTCAGAAAACCAACTTCCCGCCGCCTTGGACTGGGCCTGGAGGTAGATAGACGCATGCGCACTATGCCTCCTTCGCACTAGTAGGAAGTCTGGAGGGCTCACGTCTTCCCACTAGATCCCAAGACCAATATCCAGGACTTCGACGTGGTCTGCACCGCCGCTCCGTGACCGAGCAGGCGCTCCGACCTCTGCGCTGCAGAGCCTGTGGGCGCTTTCAGCACGAGTGTGCATGCGTGGTTTCTGTCACCAGATATCCCGCGCACACATTCACCGCCGCCCCCAGCAACTCCAGGCCAAGGGCTGTGTCTCCTTTCGCTACAAACCCCCAAGAGAGTTGTCATTTTTGTGGTGGCTCACCTCGTTCACTCTGCGGGCACCCAACCCTGACTGTGAAGACAAGGGACTTTACCCCAGTATTTGACACCCTGTAAGATCTCAGAAAATATGAATTGATTGAACCTGAACTCTGGAATCTGCATTCCATCTGCTGCACGCTCACACCACTCCAACTGGCTAGTCCTCATTCATTCCACATCTTGCTTATTGGAGTCCAATCCATTTGGGATCCTTGGAGACACTCTGGATGCGTCCATTTATCAACTTGCTCCTTTTGTATCAGACCCACAGGCCCACACACACCTGCTCAGTCTTGAGTTTAGTCTGTTCTGCCATTTAATCTCCCATCTTTTAATTTCTGTTAAAATGCCCACTGCCTTTACATCAGGTTCGCATTATGCTCCCTAGTCTAAGAGCTGCCTAACCAGTACCTCCTCCACCTCCATTCTTAGACTGTACACCTGCCCAGGTTTGGTTTTGTTTTGTCCAGATATGAACAGGTTACTATCTTTTCAGCTTCTGATAGCCCACCTACATCAGCTTCTGATGTATGTTCAAGCCCAAACTTGGTATAGGAGCCCTGTTACCATCTATTTTACTCTATTTTCCATCTTTGTTCTTTTTGCTTTTTATCGGAAGATTCCTCAAGTTTATTTTCCAGCCATCTATAGTTTTTACTTTTCTAGAATTTTCTTTCGTTCTTCAAATGGCTCTTCGTCATGGTGTCATAGCCTTGCTTCATAGATCCTGTATTTCTATGAGGGTATTAATACGTTTCAAAAGTTTTCTTCTTCCTGAATAGTCTTTTATTCCTCTCAGTTGCTTTTTCCTATTAATTTGGCTTCCACCTATCATATTAGATGTTTTCTGGTGGTCCTCAACTATTCACTCATACTTAAGAGCATGGAACTAAAAAACTGGAGTCAAGTGCTGTAAAAGCTGATTGGAAGCTCCCAGCATGTGGGTGGGACTTGTTTCCTGAGAGCTTCACTGTATGATGGTCTGGCTGGGCTGCTGGTTGGGAACACATGGCATCGGTATCTGTAGGTCATTCTTTCCAGCTGGTCAAATTCCCCGTAGAGAAAATCCTTTCAGGCCAAACTGGAAATATTCTAGGAGTCAAGTAGGGAAGCACAGGCTGGAGTATTCTGTTTGTTCTATTCAGTCCTCCCTGCCACAATACAAGTCTAGTTTGGGTTACCTAAGAAACAGGCCCTGCGACAAGGATTTGAGTGCAAGTAATTGATTTGAGATGTGATCCTGGGAGAGACTGGTGGCAGAGCAGGGAAGTGAGTCAAGGAAAGGAAGAAAGCCAATGAAAGGATTATTATCAACAAAGTTAGCACTGAGGGTTAACTGGAGCTGGAGAACTTTGAAGACCAGTATGAAACACACCTCAGAGTTATCCTACTCAAGGGGTGAGAAAGATGGAGTATTTATATACTAATTTCCATCAACTATTGGTTGAGGGCTGCCCTTGGGGTCAGCATCCCAGCCTGAAACATGGGCAGCAAGGCAGGCTCTGCTGACCAGAAAAAACCCTCAGGCAAAGCCCTCATCAGGTGGAAAAGATAATTACGTGATGACCAGATGCTGGCTGTTGGATGTTGTTGCGCTGCACCAGGGCAAGCCTGCAAGCCTTGTAGCTGCCCAGCCTCGAGACCAAAGAAAGAGCCCAGAGACACCAACATCAGTGGTATATTGGACAGGAGGATCTTACACAAAGGGTCCTGGGGTGCCCCTACCATGGGCAGCAGATGGCAGGCAGGACATGGCAGGGAGAAGGAGGCTACCATCTATAGGGGGAATTCACATCAGGTGGGCTCATCAGTTACCAGTGACTAATTAAGGCCTATGGTTAAGAGGATTGGACAGTCATGTGAGTGAAGCAGGGACTGGTCAAGCAGGGATGTACAGAAAGCAAGAGAACAGCCATCTTGAATGGCCTGACCATGCGGATGTCCAGGCAGCTTGGTGTAATAGATTGGTGGATGATGGTAAAGCCCCTTCAGTAGCTCTGTCTTGCTTGGTGTGCACTCTATCTAGCCTACTGTAACAAGCAGGACCCCATGAGGCCTTCCTGGGACAGACCCCGCCCCTGCTCCACCATGTCCTCCACCTGCCTCTTGTCTGGAGAAAAACTTTAGCCAAATAATAAATTTAATCAGAGAAGTGAGAAAATGTGAAAGCAAAGGAAAACAACAAGACAAAATAATAATAATTTAGCCATTAAACAAAAGCAAGGACCTTTAGTTCCTACTCAAGGGCTACAGATAATATTCTGAGCCATATCCTTTGAGCTGTTTTGTAGATGCTGAAAACCCTCATCAGGTGGAAAAAGTTAACTATGTGATGACCAGACTATAGCAATGACATAAGCTTCTCCAGCTTACACAAGTCTGAGAACTGACCTCAAAGAACTGGGAACAAACCAACCCTGGAACTGAAGATTAACTGTACTTAAAGCAATCAAGATGACACTGATCAGACCACTGCATGACCAATTTCAATGTGACTGTCGGAGCTGACTGTGCTCTTCTGCACTAAGCCCCCTCTCTCCGCCTATACACCCCTGAAACTCCCTTTAAAAACCCTTACCCCCTGATCGGCAGTTGGGAATTGGCTTTTGGACACGAGTCCAAACCTTTTCCCCAGGTTGCCAGCCTCCTAAATAAAGCAGTTTTTCCTTTCCTACCAACACTTGTCTCTCAAATACTGGCTTTCGAGCAGTGAGCAGACAAACCTGAGTTCAGTAACACTAACTGAACTTCTTTTCTGTGTCTGAGGGACACCTTGGTGGTTATTTTTCTTAGTTGTCCACTTGTAGCTCAAGTCTGGTTTTTAGAGTACTCTAAATGGTGGCAGTGAAACAATGGTGGAAGGCAAAGTGGTGTTTACCCCCAAGGGTCCAATGGCATAAAAACAATCAGGCTACCAGCCCCACTGAAGAACCTAGAGGAAGTTTTCCTGCTCCCTTATTTCTTTATAGTCTCCCAGCTCATGGACAGCTACACAACTCCTTCTTTGGCTTTTAGGGGCCAGGAAGTCCCCAAACTCTCTCACAGTGCTAAGTCAATCTCCTCCACAAAGAATTCCAGTGATGTCTGAGGGCAAGCATCTTCCAAGTTACTTTCCTGCCCATTCCCCATCTCACCCCTGCTTCCTTTCACACACATTTCTAGGAGCTGGGCTAGTGCACAGTGGAGCAGCCCTTATAGCAGCCCTCTGAGCCGAGACTTCTAAAGAACCCAAGGCCTCATTCAAACCCAACTGTCCACAGGCCCCAGCAGCCTGTGGCTTGAGAGAAGAAAATAAATTGGAATTTGGAGTTGAGGGAAAGGAAGATGCTAGCGTTCTTAACTTATAATATGATACGATTTTTAAATAATTGGGTTGATCAAAACCTTTACAGTTTTAAAATATGCTATCTCATTTAGTGTTTATAACTACATGGGATGGACAGATAGAGATTAATGAAGCTTATAAAGATTAAGTGACTTACAAAGATTAAATCATTAAACCACTGTATGCAATGGAGACAGAGCTAGAATTCAGGTCTTTTGAACTCATCAGCAGGAATTCTGCTTCAAGGAGAAGGACACAATAATAATTATTAATATCTGTACAGCATATTATAGTATAAAATTATCTTCAAATACAATAATCCTCACAACAAAATGAGTTGTTGTAGAATTCTAAAAAAATACTTAACATGCTTACTGGCCTCTCCCAAGTCAGCTGAGCTCCTGACAGCTCTGGCTCCAATTTCTACAGGTCTCTTAGCTTTGCCCTACTCCACATGTTAGCTTTAACCTCAGGACACTGGTGAGATGGCCCTGGTAGTTCCTGATCTGATGACATTCAATAAAGAGAGGAGAGAACGGAGAACCGTCAGGTATCAGAGTAGCCAATTAAACCAGCAAGCCAAAAATGAAAGAGTTAAGCCTTTAATCACTTACTGTGACAGTGTGAGAAAGAGGTTAAAACCAGACAAAGCATGACTCCCTCCTTTCCATTTTCTCCTTGGAACAGAGCACTTGTCAAGGTCAGATGGATTAGCTCAGATCCATCAGTTTTGGGTGGTGGTTTCACTGAACAAAAGGCTCCAGCTGTTTTATGGACCCTGGGGAAAGGGTTAGGAGTGAAAAAGCACTTCTCCTTCCCAGATAAGGAAGTCTCAGCAGAGGCACCTGAAGAAGACCTCTGCCCAAGCCCTAGATAAGGAGACCTAGGATTGAAGGCCCTGGGGCTAGGAATGCAAATAGCGAAGCACAGGAGTCTGGGAGGCCTGAGTCCTTGACTGCAACCCCCCTCAGAGATCGCAGTCCACTAGCTGTGCACCAAGGCTGTGTAGAGAAGGCAGATATTCCCCATGAGGCCTGCCAGGCAAAGCTTTTGTAATTGCCCAGGGTTAGGCCTGAAAATCACACATCGGTCTTTAACCGTGAGACAGACTCATCAAGAACTGCTGGAATTAAGTGGACTCTGAAGCCTGTCC